GGTCTTTCCTTCTTTATATTTTCTGACGGCACTTGGCCTTAGGGACATTTCGAATTCTCTTCGGCGAAGGCCCATGGCCTTAGAGGGTATTATTTTGATTTTGTCGGAATATTGACCCGTCGTTGTTCGATCGAGGTCGATCTCTTCTTCTTTGGCGAAGGCCCATGGCCTTAGGGGGTATTATTTCGATTTTGTCGGAATATTGACCCATCGTTGTTCGATCGAGGTCGAACTCTTCTTCTTTGGCGAAGGCCCTTGGCCATAAAGTCAATTCGGACGAGGCCGAAGGTTGATTCGGACGATGCCGAATATTGTTTCGGACGGCCAAATATTGATTCGGACGAGGCCGAAGGTTGATTCGGACGAGGCCGAATGTTGATTCGGACGAGGCCGGAGGTTGTTCGGACGAGGCCGGATGTTGTTTCGGACGAGGCCGAATGTTGATTCGGACGAGGCCGAAGGTTGTTTCAGACGAGGCCGGATGTTGATTCGGACGAGATCGAATGTTGATTCGGACGAGGCCGAATGTTGATTCGGACGAGGCCGAAGGTTGATTCGGACGAGGCCGGATGTTGTTTCGGACGAGGCCGGATGTTGTTTCGGACGAGGCCGAATGTTGATTCGGACGAGGCCGAATGTTGATTCGGACGAGGCCGAAGGTGGTTCGGACGAGGCCGAATGTTGATTCGGACGAAGCCGAAGATTGATTCGGACGAGGCCGAATGTCGTTTCGGACGAGGCCGAATGTTGATTCGGACGAGGCCGAATGTCGTTTCGGACGAAGCCGAATGTTGATTCAAACGAGAACGAATGTTGATTCGGACGAGGCCGAATGTTGATTCGGACGAGGCCGAATGTTGTTTCGGACGAGGCCGAATGTTGATTCGGACGAGGCCGAATGTTGTTTCGGACGAAGCCGAATGTTGATTCGGACGAGATCGAATGTTGATTCGGACGAGGCCGAATATTGATTCGGACGAGGCTGAATGTTGATTCGGACGAGGCCGAAGGTTGATTCGGACGAGGCAGGATGTCATTTCAGACGAGGCCGGATGTCATTTCGGATAAGGCCGGATGTCGATTTGGACGAGGCCAAATGTTGATTCGGACGAAGCCGAATTCTTCTATTTGGCGATGACCCTTAGCCTTAAAGGGTGTTATTTCGACTTATCGAAATTTTAACCCGTCGTCGTACGATCGAGGTCGAACTCTTCTTTTTGGTGAAGGCTCTTGGCCTTAAAGGGTGTTATTTCGACTTATCGAAATGTTAACCCGTTCGAATTCGAGCGAGGTCGAACCATCAAACTTTGATGGCAAAGGCACTTAGCCTGTAACTCAGTTCGAGCGAGGTCGAACTTTGTTATACTTTGATGGCGATGGCACTTAGCCTGAGTCCCAGTTCGAGCGAGGTCGAACTGTTAATCTTTGATGGCGAAGGCACTTAGCCTGAGTCCCAGTTCGAGCGAGGTCGAACTGTTAATCTTTGATGGCGAAGGCACTTAGCCTGAGTCCCAGTTCGAGCGAGGTCGAACTGTTAATCTTTGATGGCGAAGGCACTTAGCCTGAGTCCCAGTTCGAGCGAGGTCGAACTGTCAAACTTTGATGGCGAAGGCACTTAGCCTGAGTCCCAGTTCGAGCGAGGTTGAACTGTTAATCTTTGATGGCGAAGGCACTTAGCCTGAGTCCCAGTTCGAGCGAGGTCGAACTGTCAAACTTTGATGGCGAAGGCACTTAGCCTGTAACTCAGTTCGAGCGAGGTCGAACTTTGTTATACTTTGATGGCGAAGACACTTAGCCTTAATCCCAATTCGAGCGAGGTCGAACTTATCAAACTTTGATGGCGAAGGCACTTAGCCTGAGTCCCAGTTCGAGCGAGGTCGAACTGTTAATCTTTGATGGCGAAGGCACTTAGCTTGAGTCTCAGTTCGAGCGAGGTCGAACTGTCAAACTTTGATGGCGAAGGCACTTAGCCTGAGTCCCAGTTCGAGCAAGGTCAAACTGTTAATCTTTGATGGCGAAGGCACTTAGCCTGAGTCACAGTTCGAGCGAGGTCGAACCTGTCGATCTTTGATGGCGAAGGCCTTAGCCTTAGTCCCAGTTCGAACGAGGTCGAACCTGTCGATCTTTGATGGCGAAGTTCTTAACCTTAAAGGGTTCCCTGGGGGAGTCCCAATTTGCTTAATTTTGCTTGCATTGGAGAATATGACGTATTTCCTCAGTTTGATCTAGTGCAAAGAAATGCTCGGAGGGCAAGCAAAATTAGCAGAAAGCGGTGACGCTGAAGTAGAGTCGAGCATCTCCCAAATTCATTACCTCGTGAATGTTGTCATTTGGTCGAGGTGGTGGAAAAACATTAGTCCTCAAAGTTATCTGCTGTATCTGCTCAGCACTTGGTGTCCTTATCCCTGCCTGTATATGCTTTCAAGCAAATCAATTTGTTCCTTCGTTTGATTCCACCTGGATCCTACTGGTATTTCAGATGCTAACATTTTCACGCCGACCTTCATTGGTTTTCAACATTCTGGAATATAAGTGGCTCAAAGCCTCAAATTGGAGCAATAGTCCAAAGTTTATAATCAGCCAATTAAACATTTCACAATTCCAATATACATGTAGCTTTGACCATAGCCTACTAACGTCAACAGCTTCTTTTATGTTCTTGGTATGAATGTATGTGCCGTAGGAGCTACACAAGAAACTCGCTAGGATTGAATTTTAGATCTAGAGAAAACTAAAATTTTAACTAGAAAATCCCCACAGACGGCGCCAAATTGTTTGACTCAAAAGTTGTTTAACACTTTTTAAGCAAATCAATCAAATAGATGAAGGGGTAAATCCTAGTTAAAGATAATTAACTCTAGATCCGAGACGAATAATATGAGTAGAAAAACATAGCCGAGTATAAATATTGGGCGTGATTATAGCCAGATTTAATAACATAAAGAAAGATGCATTGAATAACATTAAATGGCAATAAAATGTAGATAAAGGAAAAGATTCACCCGATCTTGAGTTAGTCGGATCTTCTTTCATTTGATAAAGATGAATGATAGACAAAATACAAGAACCATTGGACCCTTTTTGGATCTGATGAAGGTTTTGGATCACAGATCCTCCTCTCTCTTTTGAGAGATGTGTTTACATATTTTCTAGAAAGAGGGAGAGGGAGACCGAGAGAGAGCCCCCTCAATGGAAAGTCCTCCCCTCCTCTTTATAAGGGGGGTATCCATAGAAAATCCTTACAAAAGGTACAATTTAGAGAGAATATTCGGTAGAATATTCCTTTTGAGTATTCTAAAGCAAACTAGCAGTTTCATGACTGTCCGTCCTCGGCCTGTCCGATCTCGGCCTATCCGACCACGACCTTCTTGATGACGGTCTGGCCTTGGCTTTATTGATGACGGCCCGACCTTGGTCTGTCCGACCTTGGCTTTATTGATGACGGTCCGACCTTGACTTTATGTCTTCGCGTGCCGAATTTCTCTGGTCTAATTTTGACCCATACAACATATACTTCCTTTATATCTTACGGTGAAGTTGGTAAACTGAGCAAATTATCTCATATGAAAGAATCATGAGCTACATGAGTCCAATGGCGGACTCAACATTTTAATCAAGGGGATTCAAAATATTAAAAAGTAAACATAAGAACAAGTCAAGGGGATTCTACTTCTACTATTTAGGGATAAAAAATAAACGAAGAGGTATGAATGGACTCCCTTTCACTGTCCTAGCTCTGCTCCTGCATGAGTCACTAAAGGAAATGAAATAGAAATTCTTAACACTAATATTTATTATAAAAAATAAACTTCTTTGTTTACATTATTGATAAGACCTTTTTCAAAGAGTATCTAAAAAATTTAGAATTCGATGTGGGAAGTAGAGGAGTTTATGACTAGGAATGTTCAAACAATTTCAAAAATAAAATCAGACAATCTGAATCAAACTAAATTATATTTGAATCTCAATAAGAAAGATTTGAATACTTCTATATGAATGACTTCGTGAAACTAACAGGCATTATGTTGGGCCCGTGCGCAAGACGGGCTTCACTTACCTAGTATATAGAGAACCACATAGCAGCGCGAGATGGAGTTGGATTCCCTAGCATTGATGCTCCATTCCCCGGTAAAAGCCATGCCTTTTTCTTACTATTTCAAATCAAGTTTTTTATTTATTTACTTTTTTATTTAATCATTTTCTATTTCCTAAAGTTACGGGGAATGACACACATCACGCCCTCGGTCTTAAATCTCAATAGATCTCTCTTTGTCACTTTGCATTACTACTAGTTAAATTAAATAAATAATAATATATTCACGAATGCTTTTGAATTTCTTTATTTGATACGTAAAGTAAGTCTTTTTTAATATAAAAATGATTTTATTGAAGTTAATAAAACATTTACAATATTAATTTGGCACTAAAAAGTACTAACTTTTTATTTACTACTCGTTTATAGTAACAAGTTGTTTACTTGCCAAAGTATGTTTAAGGTCGCAATATATTTATTAAAAAAATATTAAATATATGAGTTATTATCTTCGAACTTTTTAAATTTTTTATTGGAGTAAGAGTGTATTATTTATTTAAATTTCTTATAATAGTACTGCTTGCTGGATTACATTGGATCTGTTGTTGTTATATAATGGTACTTACTTTGAATTAGACTAATTTTAATTAAGTTAAGAGGAAGTAAAATAAATTCTATTTAAAAAATATTGTTAATGCAACCGACTTCAGAAGATTACTCAGACCACTTTATAGATTATTGGTTAAAATATAAATATACTTGCCTTAGTTAGAGAGTAATAGATATGATTATCTAAATACTTTCTAACATGGGAGTAATAATAATATAACTTAAACCAGAATCTGTCCATACCATCATTTAAGCCACAATAATGAGAAAATACAAAAATAAAGAGAAAAACATATACTATTAAATTATTTCCTTTTCCTAATTTATTGCAAAAATCCACCCAATTTTCCATATTATAAACACTCACCAGTCTCCTCTAAACTGTTCAGATTCCAAATGCAGATTGATAAAAGAGAGAGATTTGTGAAGAAAAAGGAGACAAAAACAGACGGAAAAATAGGAGAAGATTTTGTTTTTTAGCTTCTCTTTCTCTCTGCCATTTCTGTTTCTCTGTACCTTCTCTGCTCTTTCTGTTATCTCCCATTCCTCTATCTCTTCCATCACTTCCAAATCTTCGGTATACCAAATACGAAACAAAGTTATTAGTACTACTTAATTTACAATGACAAAGGAAAAAGAGAGGAAAATGTTTGTTGGAGTTGTTTGGAATTGTGCAGCTGAACTCAAACTTCTCCTTACTGCTATTCTTTTCCTTTGTTCACTTATCACCATTCTTCAATTCATGCCCTCTCGTTTTTCTTTCACTTCTTCAAATTTTAGCACTTGTCTCTCTACTCCTATAACCCCTTTTATTGATTCTATCTCCGCCATAAACGCCACCTCTACACCGCCGCCGCCGCCGCCGCCGTCAACGGAAAAGGACGAGGTTCTAAAAAATGGAGTTATTAAGCGCGCCTTTAACCCATTCGGTTCAGCTGCTTACAATTTTATACTTATGTCTGCTTACAGAGGCGGACTTAACACTTTTGCTGTTATGGGTTTAGCTTCAAAACCTCTCCATGTGTACGGAAAACCCAGTTATCAGTGTGAATGGGTTCCGAACGACGACAAGCTTAAATCCATTACTGTAAATGGTAGCAAAATCCTACCCGATTGGGGATACGGTAGAGTTTATACTGTTTTAGTTATCAATTGCACTTTTCCTATTCCAGTTGGTACTGAAAATGGAGGAAAACTCGTAATTCATGCCGCTACTAACGGCGGCGGCGACACTAAATTCAACAGCACCGACAGTTTCGTAGGGTTAACTGAAACAGAACAGGATTTCATTAACTTCACTGCAGAATTCAATAAACCGCCAAAGTATGATTTCTTCTACTGTGGATCATCTTTATATGGGAATTTAAGTCCACAAAGAGTAAGAGAATGGTTAGCTTTTCACGTTAGATTATTCGGAGAGAAATCTCATTTCGTAATTCATGATGCTGGAGGTATACACGAAGGAGTAATGGCGGTTTTAAAGCCATGGATGGAGAAAGGATATGTTACATTACAAGACATTCGAGACCAAGAAAGATTTGATGGATATTATCATAATCAGTTTTTGATAGTGAATGATTGTTTACATAGGTATAGATTTCAAGCTAAATGGATGTTCTTTTTTGATGTGGATGAGTTCATTTTTGTGCCTAAGAAGAGTACTATTAAATCTGTGGTGGATTCATTGTCGGATTTTACACAATTCACCATTGAACAGATGCCTATGTCCAACAAGCTCTGTCTTGAAGAAGACCGCGGTAAATCTTACAGGTATGTCAATATTTTCATTATAAGTTTGTTAATTTCTCGAGTTCAAGTTTTATTACGGTATAAAAAGTATTTATACAATCAGGTTATTTACTGTCATATCTATCTATAACAACTTCGCTGATATTGGTTGCCATCTAAAGTCTTCTTGGTAAGAGGATATATATTAACATAACATAAAAGTTAGTATTCTTATAGGGGTAAGAGGATATATATTAACATAACATAAAAGTCGGTTTCGAGAAATACTATGGTTGTTATATTAGATAATTACAAGTAAATTTCTTGATAAATAGTGATAATTTCATAAAAATGGTAACGAACCTGTTATTATGATATTTTCGTCCTAGAGTGTAGTTTACTTAATCCATTTCTTATTTTGTAGATGTTTAATCCTGTTATAGTAAGTAGAAGAAGTAGAAATTTTTAGTAAAGGTGGTCAAACTTTTTACAAAAGTTGACAGCTAATATTCACAATGTTGACATTTAATTGACGCGTGTTTGGAATAGTAAGTGCAACAGAAGAATATGGGCATATGAAATAATACCAATTGGCATCTTTTTTTGTTTTGTTTTGGGCTTACTTAAATAATATCAGTATGGTATAAGTTGTTTTTCATAGTGTCTACTTATCAAGTTGAGACTGACGTTTGAAAGAAGTGAAGTTGAAGCTGAATTTACTCTGTCGGTGTGGCTTTCATGTGACTTTTATTTGCCTATAAATACATGCTGTAAAGGCTAAATTAATACTAGGTGTGATTTATTTGTAGTCTAGTTGGATCCAAACTCTGTAATTGCATGATTAAGGAATGGTTAGAATTTTACAAAGGACATGATTAGGGAATGGTTAATATTGTAAGTGAAATTTTAAATTTACTGGTTGGGAAATAGTACAATTTGGTCGGATCTAGTGGTAAGAGCGTAACGTATGATGTGACATGTTACGGGTACATGTTACGGGTTTGAATCCTGCCACTAGCAAAAGATCGGTATTTAAGCGAAAAAGGATAGAGGGGCGAGTCCATTATTCACATAATTTTGTCTTATTGAGTGTCATTACCTAGCTAAAGTTAAGTATATTTATTTGTAATGAAATGAACAAACTTTGAGGTTCATTTGCTAGTGATTTGGAGGTAGCCCTTGTCGGTAGGCATTGATTGGTTGTATTATTTAAACTTAAATTATTGATAATAATGTTCAAATTCTTAAATGGTAAACTAGATTGTAATTGGAAAGTTGGAGAAGGACAGGGGTCTTGTGTTTTGTCGATTTGTTGGATGTTTTTGTATTGTATCATGCTAAAAACTTCATTCAACTACTGAACCACAGAAGTAAATACTCATACTTAGTTGTCTATGTAATGTCATCGCTGATAGTTAACGTAAAACTAGTCAATTACTGATTGTGTGCGATACGACTGCAGAAAATGGGGGTTTGAGAAGCTAGTGTACAAGGATGTGAAGCGAGGTATAAGGAGGGACAGAAAATACGCGGTGCAGCCGCGCAATGTGATAGCCACGGGCGTGCATATGTCACAGAACATAGTAGGCAAGACAACCCATAAAACAGAAGGGCGCATCAAGTATTTCCACTATCACGGGACCATTGCAGAACGCCGAGAGCCATGTCGGCAGCTGGTCAACGCCACGGCGATCACCGTTGACCGAACCCCGTATGCTGTGGACACTACAATGAGGGACATTGCTGGAACTGTGAAGAGATTTGAACTCAAGATGATTGGTTCTGTACTACAAAGAACAAGACAATAATGAGGTCTATTTTGCTATGCTTTAATTTTTCTTTTTTGCTGTAGATCATTTCTTCTTTGTTCTGTATGATAAATTTTAATGTTATTTTGAGGTAGAAGTGGTATAGAAACAACAAAGACAGGTGGTATCTGTTTTGATATAAATATTATAGGATTACTTGGTGTTTTGTATTCTTTTGTCTATTAAATTATAGTACTAATAAGCTTTTCCATTCATTGTGTGGTTCCTTTTGTTTTTAATAATTGGCTGGATTTAGGCCATGTCATCGGTGTCGGTGGACCACACCCCCCACCCCCACCCCCACCCCACCCCACAAAATTAGTAGAGAGTAGAAAGAGAAGTGGTTAGTCTTGGTCTAGATACAGAAGTTATGATTGAAAGCACAAAGGGACCTCAACTTTGTTTTCATTCTCTTAGGATTCTTGATGATCATGATTCGTTTGGTGCTTTCTCCCGGAGTAATTTTTTTTTTTAGCCGAGGGTCTATTGGAATTTTTTTAAGGGTAAGGGTAAGGTATGCATACACATTATTTTCTTAGATTCCACTAATGAAATTAAATTACACTGCATTTGTTGTTGTTATTGTATCCTTTTTCACTTAATTATTAGATACTCTATTTACGGTAGAGGTTAAACTTGTGACATAATATATTTAACTCGTATATATCACATGTTGCACTCTGGCTATTGTGCTAAAAGAATTCCTCTTATGCTTGTTTAAGGGAAAGAATACTTAACTTTCATGGCATATGGCATAATTGCAAAATGGTTGTAGTGTTTCAACTTTGCCGTTTGGACAAGTCAAACAAAGAATGTGGATGACAGAAGGACCTTTATTAGGGGTTCCTTTCATTTAACTATAGACTTGAAATGTGTAACAAAAGGAAAAGGGGAGGATAGAGAAGAAAATATGTTCATTCTTGGCTAAAAGTCGAGCATTTTCTTGGCTTAATAGGCAAGGGTGTATTCCCTCCTCTCCCCACCCCCACCCCCCACAATTAAAGCTTGAGCAATTGCTAATTTTGTTTCTGCCACCTATGCTTAAATTTGCATGTGGCCTTAATAATGAATACTTTATCAAAAGGAAGCTATTTTTGGAAAGGTGTTGATGTGTACTTAAAATCGTGGTGTGTTTGTGAAGTTTTCGTGTTATGTCAGCATCTTGCCATTTGTCTTGTCTGCCAATATGTGTGAAAATAGTAGCCTCAAGTATAGAATATGAAATGTGTCAAGAGAACCCATACATGATGAGGTGTGCAAAACATATGTACAGCTAGGCTTTGATTTAGTATGCAGACATAAATTTGGTGGAAAAAATAATTTACCTATTTCATTTTTTTGGACCGAAAAGTATACGGAAACGATCTATTTACTTTCACATGGTAAAAGTAAAGTCCGCGTATACATTACTCTTTTAAAACCTCACATATGGAATTTCACATGTTGCTTTCTTTCTTCGGTCGATGATCTAGTTAGAGATTTTGTTAGAAATGTTTTATATATATATATATTTTCATGAAGGTTTAAAATCACCCTTCACCCATTGTAGCACCGCCCTTGCTTGGGGTGCTTTTTTCCTTCCAACTTTTAGAGCAGAAATGTTTTTTTTTGTGTAGGAGTAGGAGGAGCTTATTTTTGGCAAATCATATTAAGTTGATTTTTAATAACATGCAATTCTGTGTATCAAACCCGATATTATTATCTAGAACATAGAGCAGTTATATCTAATAACCAATTAAACTGTGCTGATGATGTAAAGATTATCTATTCCATTAATCCATATAACTTGGTTGGATTGCTAGCAGTAGTACATATTTATGTTTGATTTTGTTTTCACGTCCATACTCCATATTAAGAAAGATAAGAAACAAAGAACTGAAATGAAGATTCGCTTTTTGTTAAGGAACACTTTATTTTTTAATAAGAAATTTTCAGAATGAATTTAAATTTAATCAAACCTCAATATATAAGTATAGGACAGTGAAAAATAAAAAAATTAAATGAAGATGTGATGAGCTGGGGATGAAAAAGAAAGGACTGTAACCAACTCGAAAGTGAAAGAGAATAGAATAATAAGAGTGGTGTCCCGTGGGATGGGGGGCAGTGGGCCTAAAATGGCACTGAAATATGGGGCTTTTGCATTTATACCTGCTTTTTGGGTCGCGTTTTAACTTGTGCCCGCTTTGCAAAAAAAATTGCAAGTGTACTCACTTTTTCGCGTAACTTCAGCATACGGGACTGAAGTAGCAAAGGCAATCACGCAAAACTTCAGCATTCTAAAAGACGGGCCTGAAGTAGCAAAGACAATACGAACTTCAGCAGAAGATGCTGAAGTTATTTAATTCATTTGTAAAAACTTTAGCACTAAATAAGCTGAAGTTTTTTTGTCCTGGATTCATTAGTTGTGTCATAAAGCTTTTTCAAACACTTCAGCAGAAGATGCTGAACTTATTTAGTTCATTTGTAAAAACTTCAGCACTATATAAGCTGAAGTGTTTGAAAAAGCTTTCTAACATACTAGATAAATAATCACCTTATTCTTTCGTAGTGTATTACTACTATAAAATAATCAGATTGCCAACAGTATCTAAATCATAAATTTTTGAAACAATAAACGTGAAAAAGAACAGAATTATCATGAAAAGTGTGACCTTAAACTTCACGCACGTGAAAATATTCACAAATTATTGTCTACTAACTTACGTAATTATTTATAATTTGTTTTTAAATAATATAAACATACTTATGGCAATCATCCATGAACCGAAGTTTCAGAGCAGCACCAACAGCAGCAGAAGAAAGAAGAAGAAGAAGAAGAAGAAAACAAAGGAGGAGAAGGAGGAGGAGAAATGAGGCTGAAGTTATTTAAAAAATGGGTACAAGTTAAAACTTTTTAAGAAAATAGGTAAAAGTTAAAGGGGGGCGACTAAACAGGGTACCCGTACAATTTTTACTGAAATATGAGTGGGCAAAACAGGAAATGGGCAAAAATCTGCCAAGTTTTAAATGCAAACGTCTAAGACAAGTGAGTTTGGAAGTGTTTAGACGATTTCATGGTCCAAGTCCCATATACCTTACATTTATTATACTAACATAAATTATTCTGGTCGACAGTTCTGTTTTTCACCTTTACTGGCACGAGAGGGTATTTATTGTATAATATGATCTTAGATGAAAGATGCCTACGGCAAGAAATTTATAGCACCAAATTAACTAATGCCCCCTTATTTTTAATTTGCTTGAATCTTTTCGGAGTTAGATTAATTTTCGGCATGAACTCAGACATATATTATTTTAGTTTTCTTGAAATAAAATTTTTATATTAGAAAGTACATAAAAATACTATAAGTAATAATAATTAATATTTAAAACTATTTTTTAAAAATATGGTCAAAGAAAATGTTGTTCGACTCCAAATAGTAAAATTAGAGCTGGGCATATATCGGATATAACCGATAACCTGAACCGGTAGAATGCTATTGGATTATCGATATCGGATTATTGGGTAAATAGTTCGGTAACAATTTGATGTTATTTGACTTTTGCGTTATCGGTTCAGGTCTTGGTTTACTCAATTTTATTAACGCTTTAACCGATAGCCCAATAAGCTTTATTAAAATTATAATTTTACCCACTTAGTATATAGAGCCACCTTATGGCTTCATTCTCCCATTCTCTCAATTCTCTCAGCAGTTACTCTTCATCTTCATACCTTAGAGCCCGTTTGGATTAGTTGATTGTAAATAGCTGATAAGCTTGAAGTGCTGAAAATCCTTTTTAAATGCTGAAGCTGATTTTTCAAATAAGCATTTACGTGTGACGTACTGAAACTGATAATAAGCAGTTGATGTATTTTGTAGAAAAAATGCTGATAAATTATTCTTTTATTAAAATGACTAAAATATCCTTATAACTTTATAAAAGATTATAAATTAAAAGTTTTTTTTTGTAAAGAAAAAGATGAAAAACAAATATGAAATGAAACGAAAGTTAGAAATTTATTTTGGGAAAAATATTTTGTGAATTAGAAATATTATTAAGGATAAAATAGTAAAAGCCTCGGTCAAACTAAAAGTGCTTATGAGCTAGAAAATCATAAGTTGGGGGTGATCAACTTATGACTTATGGTTAATTTTAGCCTATAAGCACCTGACTTATAGGTACTTTGGGTATTTATCAAACGCGTAGATAAGCCAAAGAGTATTTATAAGCTGTTTGACCAGCTTATAAGCTTAGCCAAACACCCTCTTAATCCTTAGAGTAAGTTTTAAACTTTTCTGAATTTTTCATCTTAATTCTTCTGTTAAAATTTTTAGTTTTAAACTTTAATGAATTAATTGTTCAAATTTTTAGTTTTTCTTTTTGTTGCTTTTGTTGGACTGATCCTTTAGCATTACAAGCTTAAGATTTTATTATTTTTTTGTGAATTATGCCCCGCAGTGAGATAGTAAGATTAGATTATTGAATGTCTTATTTCTTACTCCTACTAACTTATAACTTTGAAAATTAAGACCATTCATTGGGATTTTCAAATGCAAAGAAAGTTTTCTTTTCTAAAGTTAAAACTTAACCTCTTTTTTTTTAAGAACAAAAATTTAATTCCTTTCTCTTAATAGTATGATCACGATTTCTATAATAAAAATATGAAATTTTTGAATATTTTTTATTCTTATCGAGTAAACCGATAATCAAACCTATAAGGATCGATACCGGCTAACCGATATTTTATCGGTTCGGTTATCGATATAGTATATTTATAAATCGATAACCATATATTTAATCGATAACATTCACAATCGAACCGAACCGAACGATGCCCTAAAAGGTTCATTCTTTTTTAAACGAAGGGAGTAATTGTTACGCTATAGACATATGTCTTCCTTACTTTGGACAGGAGTGGATCAGTATTAAACTCTATTGGTTCGTCTTCGAGATTCTATTACAGTCGTATGCTTTGTTAAGTATTTATTATTTGTCTTAATATGTAAAAATTTAAACATATAGATATTAAAGAGTTTAAACCAAAACTCTAGTTCGAATGCACAACATCAGCCCGTCTTTGGGTTACTTCTACCTGTAAAGGATGTCCGTCTCATTCATAGATAGTGTTAGGATTTGTATCTATATCCGCTTTTTGGGTCACGTTTTAACTTGTGCCCGCTTTGCAAAAAAATTTGCAAGCGTACCCACTTTTTCGCGTAACTTCAGCATACGG